ATGGTTGTTAGTATTTGCCTTATGTATTGAGGTGCTCCTATGTTGGGTGCATAAATATTTACAAGTTATATCTTCTTCTTGGATCGATCCCTTAATCATTATGTAGTGTCCTTCTTTGTCTCTTCTGATAGTCCTTATTTTAAAGTCTATTTTGTCTGATATGAGAATTGCTACTCCAGCTTTCTTTTGGTTTCCATTTGCATGGAATATCTTTTTCCATCCCCTTACTTTCAGTCTGTATGTGTCTCTAGGTCTGAAGTGGGTCTCTTGTAGACAGCATATATATGGGTCTTGTTTTTGTATCCATTCAGCCAATCTGTGTCTTTTGGTGGGAGCATTTGTCCATTTACATTTAAGGTAATTATCGATACGTATGTTCCTATTCCCATTTTCTAAATTGTTTCAGGTTCATTATTGTATGTCTTTTCCTTCTCTTGTGTTTCTTGCCTAGAGAAGTTCCTTTAGCAGTTGTTGTAAAGCTGGTTTTGTGGTGCTGAACTCTCTCAGCTTTTGCTTGTCTGTAAAGGTTTTAATTTCTCCATCAGATCTGGGTGAGATCCTTTCTGGGTAGAGTAATCTTGGTTGCAGGTTTTTCTCCTTCATCACTTTAAATATGTCCTGCCACTCCCTTCTGGCTTGCAGAGTTTCTGCTGAAAGATCAGCTGTTAACTTTATGGGGATTCCCTTGTGTGTTATTTGTTGTTTTTCCCTTGCTGCTTTTAATATGCTTTCTTTGTATTTAATTTTTGACAGTTTGATTAATATGTGTCTTGGCGTATTTCTCCTTGGATTTATCCTGTATGGGACTCTCTGTGCTTCCTGGACTTGATTAACTATTTCCTTTCCCATATTAGGGAAGTTTTCAACTATAATCTCTTCAAATATTTTCTCAGTCCCTTTTTTTTCTCTTCCTCTGGAACCCCTATAATTCGAATGTTAGTGTGTTTAATGTTGTCCCAGAGGTCTCTGAGACTGTCCTCAATTGTTTTCATTCTTTTTTCTTTATTCTGCTCTGCAGTAGTTATTTCCACTATTTTATCTTCCAGGTCACTTATCCGTTCTTCTGTCTCAGTTATTCTGCTATTGATCCCATCTAGAGTATTTTTCATTTCATGTATTGTGTTTTTCATTGTTGTTTGTTTCATCTTTAGTTCTTCTAGGTCCTTGTTAAATGTTTCTTGCATTTTGTCTATTCTGTTTCCAAGATTTTGGATCATCTTTACTATCATTATTCTGAATTCTTCTTCAGGTAGACTGCCTATTTCCTCTTCATTTGATAGGTTTGGTGGGTTTTTATCTTGCTCATTCATCTGCTGTGTGTTTTTCTGTCTTCTCATTTTGCTTATCTTAATGTGTTTGGGGTCTCCTTTTTGCAGGCTGCAGGTTCATAGTTCCTGTTGTTTTTGGTGTCTGTCCCCAGTGGCTAAATTTGGTTTAGTGGGTTGTATAGGCTTCCTGGTGGAGGGGACTAGTGACTGTGTTCTGGTGGATGAGGCTGGATCTTGTCTCTCTGGTGGGCAGGTCCACGTCTGGTGGTGTGTTTTGGGGTGTCTGTGGAATTATTATGATTTTAGGCAGCCTCTGCTAATGTGTGGGGTTGTGTTCCTGTCTTGCTAGTTGTTTGGCATAGGGTGTCCAGCACTGTAGCTTGCTGGTCGTTGAGCGAAGCTGGGTGCTGGTGTTGAGATGGAGATCTCTGGGAGATTTTCGCCGTTTGATATTACGTGGAGCTGGGAGGTCTTTTGTGGGTAAGCAATGCCATTTCCATTGAGCTTTCGCGCTGCCCTAGTCTTGAAGCTCCCGCCACTGCTCCTCAGGCCGGGTCCCCGTTGATCTCTTTTTTAATGAGTTTGTTTTGAAGCATAATTGACCTACTGTGTTAGTTCCTGTTATACAATATAGTAATTCAGTATTTGTATACATTTCAAACTGATGGCCACAGTAAGTCTATGATGTCACCGTACAAAGATGTTACATAGTTATTGACTGTATTCCCCACACTGTATTTTTCATACCTGTGACTCATTTATTTTGCTACTGGAAGTTTGTAACTCTTGGTCTTCCTCACCTATTTCTCTCCTCTCCCTAACCTACTCCCCTCTGGCAACTACCTGTTTATTCTCTGTATCTGTAACTCTGTCTGTTTTGTTGTATTTGTTCATTTGTTTTGTTTTTATTGTTTATAATGCTGGTTTGGCCAATTTTTTTCTTTTAAGATTGATTTGTTTGGTTGGTTGTGCCGGGTCTTAGTTGCGGCAGGCGGGCTCCTTGGTTGTGGCATCTGAACCCTTAGTTGCAGCATGCATGTGGGATCTCGTTCCCTGACCAGGGATCGAACCTGGGTCCCTTGCATTGGGAGCACGGAGTCTTACCCACTGTGCCACCGGGGAAGTCCCCATTTGTTTTATTTTTTAGATTCCACATATAAGTGAAATATATGGTATTTGTCTTTCTCTGTCTGATTTATTTCACTTAGTATAATACCCTCTAGGTCCATCCATGTTGTTGCAGATGGTGAGATCTCATTCTTTTTTGTAGCTAACATTCCTCTCCTGGCCATTCTTGTTTCATTATCACATCATATTTCAAATCAGTCCCTGGTGCCTGTGTCCCCCAGTAAAAAACCTGTTCATTTATTTTTTATTTTTTTATTTTTTTTGCGGTACACAGGCCTCTCACTGTTGTGGCCTCTCCTGTTGCGGAGCGCAGGCTCTGGACGCGCAGGCTCAGCGGCCATGGCTCATGGGCCTAGCCGCTCCGCGGCACGTGGGATCCTCCCGGACCGGGGCATGAACCTGCGTCCCCTGCATCGGCAGGCGGACTCTCAACCACTGCGCCACCAGGGAAGCCCCCTGTTCATATTTTTATTAGATGGTGTTAAACTTATTAGGTAACTTATGGAGAATTGATTTCTTTATGATTTGGGGTCTTCCTCCTCATAAATACCATATGTCTGCATTTTGACAAGCCTCTGTGCCCTACAATAAAGTCTTACATGTTTGCTGTTACTTGAATTCCTAGCTATTTCATTTTCTTTTGTTGTTGTTTGACATGCCAGCCTTAGGGTCACTTTAACTGGTTCCAGTCTTGTACTCTAAAAACAACAAAGGATGATATTTATTTATTTATTTATTTATTTATTTTTGGCTGCATTGGGTCTTTGTTGCTGTGCGGGGCTTTCTCTAGTTGCAGTGAGCAAGGGCTACTCTTCGCTGCGGTGCACGGGCTTCTCATTGCGGTGGCTTCTCTTGTTGTGGAGCACGGACTCTAGGCACGCAGGCCTCAGTAGCTGCGGCACACGGGCTCAGTAGTTGTGACTTGCGGGCTCTAGAGCACAGGTTCAGTAGTTGCAGCACTTGGACTCAGTAGTTGTGGCACACGGGCTCAGTAGTTGTGGCTTGTGGGCTCTAGAGCGTAGGCTCAGTAGTTGTGGTGCACGGGCTTAATCGCTACAGCGGCATGTGGGATCTTCCCAGACCAGGGCTCGAACCCATGTCCCCTGCATTGGCAGGCAGATTCTTAACCACTGCGCCACCAGGGAAGTCCCAAGGGATGATATTTAAATCAGGCACTTTTGGTAACTTTATCTTCTTTACCTCTAAAGACCCTTTGAGGTAGGAACTAATATGACTCAATCTGGACATAGTAGAAAGTGGTGAATTAATGAATGATTGATCCTCACTTTGCCGTTGGAGGCCCAGAGGCCCTGAGAAGTTAAGTTCCCCAGGGACACTTAGCTAGTCTTACACGTTAGAGCAAGGTGTTAATTCATGGGTTCCACTCCAAACAAATGCTTCTGATCACCATGAGATACAGTTACGGGGATGTTAAAGGTCTTCTGGAGACAAACACGGGATCAGTGAGAGAAGTTGCTGACATTTATTGAGCACTTATGTGTGAAACATCTGTTGTGTGTTTTGTGTGTTGCTGCACTCCCCAGCCCCCCACCCCATGCGGCAGTTCTGTTATTACCCCTGCTTTGCATGTGAGGAAACCAAGGCCCAGAGAAGGTAGCTTGTCCAGACAGTTAAACAGATTTCCTTATTGCAGCACTTGTCAGTACCCTTTTTTTTTTTTTTCTGCATTGAGTCTTCATTGCTGTGTGCGGGCTTTTTCTAGTTGCGGCAAGCGGGGGCTACTCTTCGTTGCAGTGCACGGTCTTATTGCAGTGGCTTCTCTTGTTGCAGAGCATGGGCTCTAGGCGCGTGGGCTTAGTTGCTCCGTAGCATGTGGGATCTTCCCAGACCAGGGCTTGAACCTGTGTCCCCTGCATTGGCAGGCAGATTCTTATCCACTGCGCCACCAGGGAACCCTCCCAGTGCCTTTAACACGACATTCCAGTGGCTATCTACACTGTCCAAAAGAAGCAGTTGTTAGGGCAGCTGGGCTGGGGCTGGGCATTGTGAACTTTTTTAACTTTTTAAGGTAACTGAGGGATGAAGATGGCCTCCCTTAGCTGTTTAAATGCGTGTTATTACATTGCATGTGCATTTTAGTGGGATGTTCTGAATGCTGACTGCATCGTGAGTCTCCGAGACAAGATGGAACATGCCACATAATGGCATCTGACCGGGGCCTGTCTATGGTCCTAATTAGGTCCTGGCTCGTTGCTAAGTGCTTTATGGACATGATCTCATTTAACCCCCCGGGACAGCTGTGTGCACCTCGTGAGCTGAGAGGTTCCCACTGCAGGTGAAGAGCTGGGTCCAGGAAGGTTGAGGGGCCTGCTCAGCTCTGTGGGATTAGGACGTGCCAGAGCTGGGACTTGCACCATGTGTGCATGACCCTTCTTGCTCCCTGGGTCTGTAGGTGCCAGACGGATACGCCGTCTGCTGTCTTGGGCAGCTTTGCTTGTCTCTCACCCAGGGCCACGATCATGTCTCTTGAGGACTTTGAACAGCGTTTGAATCAAGCCATTGAAAGAAATGCCTTCCTGGAGAGCGAACTGGACGAGAAGGAGAATCTCCTAGAATCTGTTCAGCGACTGAAGGATGAAGCCAGAGGTCAGGAGGCCTTGGCTTTGCTCTTTGTGTTTCACCACCATTGTGCCCTCTCCGGGCCTGAGGGTGTCCTGTTCCACAGCATCACCCAGCATTACCTGTGTTCCGAGGGCAGGGACCACACCAGGCAGGCTGAGCCTTGGTCCCCACCCTATGCTAAGAATTGTCAGATGTCCATCCCTGTAGAGACCCTTTGTGGGTATTTAAGCCCAGCACCCACTTTATGCTCAGCAGGAGCACAGGAGTTTTGTGGGGAGAAAATGCCTGTTGATGGAATTGCTAGCCAGCCCATTACTTTTGTGACTTGATGGCTGCTGATACACGTGGCTTGGAAGTCCAGAATCTCATCAGCGTTTGCTCTTTGGAGGTAGCACTTCCAAAGGTAGAGCTTTCTAACTCTAAGACATTAGCAAGTCATCCAAGTTGGGTCCCTAAGAGATTTTGTTAAAGTCCCAATTAATTGTTATGACATTCATTTGGTTTCTAATGTTTAGCCAGTAGAAGGGGGTTTAGAAAGAAAAACTCTTTTAAGTTTAAAAGGTACTTTTTCCTAAATGCCCATCAGTAATGAAGTTCTTAAGTAAATTACATAGATTTATTTTGTGGAATGTTAAACGGTTGTTCAAACAAATACGGTATAGATATAAATGTAGTCATAGAAAGCTTGTTAAGGGGCTTCCCTGGCGGTCCAGTGGTTAAGACTCCGTGCTTCCACTTCTGGGGGTATGGGTTCGATCCCTGGTTGGAGAACCAAGATCCCGCATGCCGCTTGGCCAAAAAAATTAAATAAATAAAAAAGCCTATTAGGACATACCATTGAAGGGGGGAAAACACATAGATAGTAGATGTATGTTTCTATTTACGCTTAATAAAAGTTATTCATCTTATGTGCTTAATAGATACACATATAAACTCTATGTGTGAAATGCAGGGAAAAAGGATTGAGAAGATCTCCCTCATGTTACAGTTGAATAGGAGTGAGGAGGGGCATTTGAGAACGGGTTGGGAAAGCACATTTTCACTTAGTATTCTGTGTATACCTTGATACATTTGAATTCTCTTAAAACAGTAAAAGCAGTAGTGTATCACTGCCATGATTTGAAAAAAATTTTAAACCTTTTTGTTTTTACTCAAAAGAAAAACTATGTAGTTTTGCAGGCCTTCCAGGCAAGATCCTGTGGGATTTGCTTCATTCAGGGTTTCCACCTGGAGTTTTTCACTCTGGTGGTTCTTCTTGCTGACCCGTGTCTCCTGTTGACCCTCCCCTTGCCCCATCACTCAAAGCAGGGACTTAATCTGAATCCTTTTCCTGGCCCAGATTTGCGGCAAGAATTGGCTGTGCAGCAAAAGCAGGAGAAACCCAGGACCCCCATGCCCAGCTCTGTGGAAGCTGAAAGGACAGACACAGCTGTACAGGCCACTGGTTCCATGCCATCCACCCCCATAGCTCATCGAGGACCCAGCTCTAGCTTAAACACACCTGGGACGTTCAGACGTGGTAAGGAGGATGGGAATCAGGAGGGTTCTCTTGGCTTCACAAAGCTTTCCTGGGTGAGAACCGGGGTGGGTCCTGGGTGAGAGAGAAGTAGGACCAGGCTGTACAGCAGAGAGCAAACTGGGGTGCTCACAGGGGCAGACCGTTGTGGTGGGTGGGAGGAGCCTCTTAGATGTAAGACGATAGGGAGTAGTGGAGTCTGCGGCAAACTAGAGAATGGAAGCCTCATCCAGAGGGGCAGCTGCCACTCTGCTTCTACCACAAGAGGTGTGGGCCCAGCAGACACTCCACTCTTCACCAGAAGCCAGAAATCCTCTTGTCTAATATGAAATCTCCCAAATTAGAAGTTTCAGTAACCAAATAAAAAATTTAAAAAGCATTCTGTGGGTCCAGCAATACATCATCTAGAACTGGACCCAGCATAACCTGTGCTATGCAGTAAAACCCAAGAAATCTGAGTTCTTCCCCAGCCCCTCTGATTAACTTTGAGGCTCTGATTGGGCCACTTAATAGTAAATAATAAAAATAGACAATTATTGAGCACGTAGGATTTGCCAGTCCCTCTGCTTACTGTGCTTTGTATTTACATATGACCTCACTGGATTCGCACCACGGCCCAAGACGCAAGTAATGCAAGTGCTGTCCCCATGTGATGGATGAGGAGACTGAGGCCCTGAGCTAAGGAGCTGGCCTGATATCACGCAGCTGGCAAATGGCAGGCCGGCTCCCGGGGTTACACCACCACATGCTCCCTGTCCCTCAGCTTGTGCCCAGGATGAAGAGAGTGTGAGGTTTCCACAATCCCAGTCTAGATCACACTTGAATAAGCACACGACTCAGCTGGGCCTCAGATTTAGCAGGTCTGGGCAGGGCCTGAGATCCTGCGTTTCTAACAAGCGCCCAGGTGATGCTGGTCCTGCTGCTCCGTGAGCCCTGCTTTGAAGAGAGAGGAGGCTCTGAGGAGCAGAACCCTTACTAGTGGGGCTTGTTCAGATGCTGTTAATGTTAATTAGCCGTATGGAATTCCTAGAAGTTTAAGAGGGCCTGTTTTGATTTTGTTTAAAAAGAATAGCAGGTAAAGATAAATATTAAGTATAGTCATTATAAGGCTGCAAGAAGTTGGTCATCAGATGCTCTTGCTATGTTAGGCAACAAACCATTGACCGAAACAGGGCAGCGTTGGGATCAGAGGGGCTTGCTCACCCACCCCCGGGTTTCACGTTCAGAGAAGTTAGTGCACAGACTTTTGAGTGTGTGTTGGTGTCATGTGTGCATTCTTTTGCACACGCAGGTCTGGACGACTCCACTGGGGGGACCCCCCTCACGCCAGCGGCCCGGATATCTGCCCTCAACATTGTGGGAGACCTGCTGCGGAAAGTGGGGGTAAGACGGCACTTCCCCAGGGTCCGTGTGGTGGTCTTCTGTCTTCAGGAGACTTGAGGGGTGACCTTACCTATTGCTTCCCCTCTGGCAGAGGCTTCATGAGGTGCAGGTGTCACCCTGGCTCTCGTGTCCCTTACAGTCGCTGCGCTTCTATGGGTGTTGTTTCTGACAAACACCCGGGCTCTGACCCTGAGTCACCCTTTGATCCCAGGCTATATCTTTCTTTCCCTGTACCATTTTCCCTGGCAATTTGGGAGATTCGGATGGTATCTATGATATTTTTTCTTAATTTGAAAAAACTGAGAAACATTTGAAAACTGCCTTCCCTTTTTTTAATTTCTCAGGGAGTTAAAGGGAAAATCTTGAAAGGCTAGGGCAGAGAACATGACCTTATAGGTTTTATGTTAATTCCAGGGAAGGAGTCTTTTGTGCTTAAGAAATCACATAGATATTCTCTGTAGTTGTTTTTCTTAGTTTTAAACATGATGCCTGGAAAGCCACAGAGTTTAAGTCCTGCCAGTCTGTCATTGACCAGAATGTATGCATTCAGAGTTAATAGAAGCTTGCAACTCGTTTTCTATGTTTTTCCTTTTGGCTTTTGTGTTTTTGGATTGCTGTTGTATACGCAGGTTTTTCTGTTTAGTTAGAGTATACAGAAGCTCAGGGTGATCTCAGTACCCATTGGTTTCCAGAGGGTCTGTTTACAGCGAGGCAAGTCCTCCTTCAAACCTCCGGCCACTTGGTGTATGTTTTACAAGGTAGTGGAGAGAGTGAATGATGCCAAAAGTTGATTTTATATTTCTTGTAGGCAGACTTAAATCATAGGTCAGGGTGGGGACTCTTCTGGAAGCTCCTAAATATCGTAGACTACCAGTTCTACGAGTTGGACGTACATTGAATTTGGGGATGGGGTGGAGCACGCTTTGGGATTCTAACACACAACCCAGTTTGACAACCACTGTCTTAAGCTATTATTATGTGTATGGGCTCTGGTGAGAGGCAAGAGTTCTTGTCTTCAGCTTGAGACAGGAAAGCATATTTTTTTCCAGGCTCTGGAGTCCAAACTTGCTTCCTGCCGGAACTTCGTGTATGATCAGTCCCCAAACCGACCCAGTGGCCCAGCCTCAGGGTGGGGGAGCAAGAACAGAGACGGCGGCGACAGACGGCCAGGCAGCACCAGCGTGCCTCTGGGTGACAAAGGGTCAGTACCTTCTGCTGTTCCTCCTCATTGTCAGGAGAACCCATCCTCTCCAGCCGGGAGCCTCTGACCCCTGACCCACAGCCATTTTTCAGAGTCGCAGGATTATGTCAATGAGGTATTATCCTCTACCCCATCCCTTAAGACAGAGTTAGGTGGTGTCTGCTGGTTTAGGCAAACGGCCAAGGAGAGGGTCATTTTTATTACTTGATTCTGCAGCCCCAGCTCCCGGTCATGCTGTGAGAATGTCCTTTGTGTAAATCACTCCCTTGTTTAGGACTCAAACTTCAAACACTGCTCTGCTTCCCCCAAAAGAGGATTTTTTTTTAACCTTTAGAACCTTCAGGAAACTGAATCAGCCAGACTAGATTTCTGAAGCCAGTCACCTGATTGGAAAACACAAATCTGACCTCTAACAGCTTCATTTATTTTCTTGCCTGAAGAAAATCAGTGCAGCTTCCAGATTCTAGAATTCTGTAAGATGTGCCACCATCTCACTGGACCCCAGGCCACGTAAATTTGGGGGCGATCAGTGGCAGACAGAGGACAGGAAATGAAGAATCGTTCTCCCCAGCATGCACATAACTTCCGGACCTTTAGATGTGGGTGTTTTTTTGGAGCGTCTTCTGCGACTGGGCTTTTTGCGTGGCCTTGGGCATGTGAGCCCTAGATAGCCAGTGTCCTTTTCTTCATTTCACAGGAGAGAAAATTGAGACCCAATGAGACACTGCTCCTGACCTTGATATTCACTCTTATAACTTTGTGGGGCCCCGTGCTAGCCAGTCTATTACAGCTGTAATGTCCGCCTAATTTGGTTTGCTCTGTCTGAAGGTTGGGAAAACGCCTGGAATTTGGGAAGCCGCCTTCAAATATTTCCTCACCATCACTGCCGTCAGCCCAGGGTGTAGTCAAGATGTTGCTTTAGGAAATCCACGGAAGCCAAGGCCCCGGTGTCTGTGCAGGAGTCATTTTACCCTCCTTCCCTCTTTAAACTAGGTTTTTGTTTTTTTTAAGTTAGTTTGAGAAATACGAGCAAGCAGCCGCACTAGCCAGTGACGGTGGGGGGCGGGGATCGCCTGTGGCCCCGGGTGGTCGTCCCCAGGAAATGCCATCTCATAACCCCTGGCATCCTTGTCGGGGTGTTGCCAATGGACAGGGACAAAGCGGACCCTCTGGAAATGGCAACGTGGGTGCTGAGGCTGCTCCATCATTTTCAGCAGACCTGAGTCCTGATTGGTCTTGAGAGGTGTTTTTCATGACCGGGGACACCTATAAAGTGGGGTCTGAGCCCATCTCAGGCTCACTCCGGCCCCCACTTTGTTGGAGCTTCTTCCAGAACAAAATCTCCAGTGCTCTTTGGCACAGCAGGGATCAGTGCACTGAAATCACATCTAGGGGTGAAGAACAGAACAGGCATGTACCTTTTTTTTTTTTTTTTTTTTTTTTTTTTTTTTTTTTTTTTTTTTTTTTTTTTTTTTTTTTTTTTTTTTTTTTTTTTTTTTTTTTTTTTTTTTTTTTTTTTTTTTTTTTTTTTTTTTTTTTTTTTTTTTTTTTTTTTTTTTTTTTTTGTGGTATGTGGGCCTCTCACTGTCGTGGCCTCTCCCGTTGCGGAGCACAGGCTCCGGACGAGCAGGCCCAACGGCCACGGCTCACGGGCCCAGCCGCTCCACGGCATGTGGGATCCTCCCAGACCGGGGCACGAACCCGTATCCCCTGCATCGGCAGGCGGACTCTCAACCACTGCGCCACCAGGGAAGCCCCAGGCATGTACCTTTTATTTAAACTGTGGTGTGGTGTACCTCTGAGACTTTTTAATCTGCCTCTCACTGAGGCTTTTAGAGGCATGCTTGAGTTTCAGAGTACGTTTTGTGGCACCAGGTCAGTGGAAACTCTGTGTCCTCTTTAGACCAATCCTGGCTGTGAGTTGTCCTGAGCCCCTCTGTCCTGGCCTGGGGGTGACCTCTGCTTCAGGACCCTTAGGGTCTCTGGGGTATGATGGCCTTGGTAATGCAGCCCCTAAGAACAGGACTTCATTCAAAGCCTTGATGAAATAATTGGGGTGACCTTCGGGTAAGATTAAACCACCAAGACTGTCGGTGGGAGGTTCCTTATTAAAGAAGAAACGAACCCAGGATTTCCACACAGATGGCGTGCAGCTCATCCCTGCGGGTTGTGAACGGCAGTCTCACAATTTGGACGCAAGTAAAAAGAACACATGAATTCCAGCGCGTGCGTGCAGCTTAACGGCCTTCTGTTACTAAGTTATTTTTCCAAAAGAACAGCAAAAATATCCTTGGGTTGAAAACAGAACTTTCCAAATGCTACTGAAATTCAGCAGAGAATTAAACTTGAGTGCCCACTTGGTTGCCCTGGCAACATTCTAACCTATATCGGTAAAAGATGTACTTTTATTTTTTTAAAAGAACAATAAAATCAAGAGAAACTGATTTTCAGCTAGTTTGTGGTGGTCAGTAAATGCTGCTGCCTTTGTGCTTCTGTGTTTGCTATCTGGTGATGAAAAACTTTAGTTTTTTTAACCAAGTGACTATGAAAAAAACTCCTTTTTTAAAGATTTCCTTTCGAGTCAGCTTCTTAGAATTGTATTGGGACACGTGCGTGTCCTGTTCAGGGTGTATTAGCATTTGGTCATTCAGTGCGTCCTTGGTTTCTGTAATTCCCCTCTTTTCACTCTGTTTGATCCCATGGAGTTGGTGTATGGAATCATATGTGTTGAGTGGAAACTTTGCCAGGGATCTCTGTCTAGGACATGCAGGCCAAGGAAGGGATGGGCCCAGGCCTGGGTTTTATGGCCCTCACGCCAAGAACGATTTTTACATTTTTAAAGGGTGGCTTAATTTTTTTTTTTTTGCGGTACGCGGGCCTCTCCCTGTTGTGGCCTCTTCCGTTGCGGAGCACAGGCTCCGGACGCACAGGCTCAGCGGCCATGGCTCACGGGCCCAGCCGCTCCGAGGCATGTGGGATCTTCCTGGACCGGGGCATGAACCCGCGTCCCCTGCATCGGCAGGCGGACTCTCAACCACTGCGCCACCAGGGAAGCCCAGGGTGGCTTAATTTTTTTAAAAAAACGACAAAAATGTGACAGAGACCATGATGGAGGCTAAAATACTCAACTTTCTGGGCCTTTATAGAAAAAGTTTGTCGAGCCCTGCCGGGCGAAGTCTTATGTTTTAACTCAAACATTCAAGGAACTCATATTCTTCACATTAAATATGTGCTGTTTTGATTGATAAATATGTTCTTCCCGGGCATGGTCCTACTCCCTGGGCCTCGAGCCACCCACCTCCTGTGTGGAGGAGCCCCTCACTCACACTCACTCTGTGTCTCTGCTCTTGGCCAGTTGCTCTTGGGGTCTCAGACGATTCATCTCACCGTTCCCCATTTAATGAAATAATAACCCTGACTTGATAGGGTTGTCATGAGGATTAAATGAGGCCACCCCCCCACCCCGTGCTTTTTCTCTAGAAAACAACAGAAAAGTCAACTCTATTCTAGTGATTTATAACCTTTTATTAGTGAGGGTGTCCTTAAGTACAGCTGGGGTGCATATAAAACAGCGTGACATTACTGCTCTTAGCCGTTTGAGCGGCGTCTCCTTTTTAATTCACGTGACTACAGAAGGCACTTGGTCTTGGTGAACTGTGTGCATCTGATGTGCGGGAACCGGAGGGAAGAGGAATTTTCAAACCAGGGCCCACCGGGACGATGGAAGAGTCCACGGGGCAGGAAGGGCTGGGGGTGGGGACAGTGGCACCCATCGTGGTGACTTTCTCCCCAATTCATGTAAACTAAGTTGCCAGTGATTCGTTACCATGGATATATTTTTCTAAAAATTCAAAATCTCTGCACAGTTCTCGGCAGAGGGAGTGGGTGTGTCTGTGTCACCTGTTGGGTTTTTCTCCTTCGGTACATTGTTCCAAACTAAGTTGATGCCCTGAATGCAGGGTAGTGGTCTTTATATTCATCGTGAGGGGTGTCTGTGATGTTTGGAGTTTGAAAATGGATTTAGACGGTGCTAAGACGAGTCCACTGGGTTTGGTTCTGCCCTGTTTTGAGCAAGTTGTTCATTCACTGGCTTTGGTTCCGTTGAAGTCTGCATCGCGAGCGTCCATATCCTCTTCAGAACCGTCCGCGTTTTCAATAACTCTACGTCCTCCAGACCTTCTCGAGGGAACAAAAGAGGTCTCGTTCCCTCGCCTGTGGGTGTTAAGAAAACACACGTTTCTTTAGTACAGAAATCTCCCTCGAGCTTGGAAGAGATTTTCAGATGGGGCAAAAAACAAACACAAACAAACTCGAATGAGACGCAAATATTCAGATTGAAGTGAACAAATCCTGACCCATATGGGTGCATTTAATTAGCTGGAATGGGGGCAAAGTAGGTTTTTCAAAGCGGGACCATCTGCTTTAAAAAATGTCTGGCTTGGTCGATTGCTGACCCACAGGATTCTGGTTGGCTGTGGATTTCTGTTTAGAAAAGAAGGAAAAAAGGCAAGTGGGGGTGATGGCCTCATGGGATTATTCCTACACTGTGGAGCAGGGATGAGGGGGACCTGTTGTGTCTGCGCCTCCTTGGTTTCAGAAGGAAAAGGGGGTAGGGGTTTAGGTTTTGAATTGTAGGAAGGTGAGAATGACCACCAACCCTTGAGGGGGAAGGAGGTCCCTGCGTGGATGCTAAGGGTGCTGTCTGGTTAAAGGCACTGCATTTCTCTGCTTTTATGGAGCAGAATTCTTGTTCTGAGTTCCCCCAGGGCAGGGATCTCGCCTGTTTTGGGTGCACCATGGCAGGCACTGTGCAAGGCATAGAACGGGTGCTCAATGAATATTTGTCAGAAAAACATTAGACATGTTAATCCAGGGTGTCTTTTAGCCCTAGCTGGTGGGACACCCCTTTCTTTCTGTCCTTTCCGCTCCCATCTCCTCTCCTCCGTGCTGCTGGATGCCCATTTCCCCCAGGGCCTTCCCTGGTCACCTGAAGTGAGGCTTTGCGTAGGAGGGCAGGGCAGGCAGGAGGAGGAAAAATCAGACCCGCCTGCACTTAACCTCCACTGTTTGGAAGGAAAGTTCGCCTTCTTTTCAGCGACCACAACAAATAACGTTGTGTGTTGGGCTCCAGCCATCTGACCCTGTTTGACAGGTCTTCACTCATTTTAGGATGTCTAAGAAGAAAGCAAGTTTTTTGCAACAAAAACGACCTGCTTCGCCACACAAAGGCTGGACAGAAAAGCCACGAGGGTGAGCCTATCCCAGTGAACCCAGCCCGTCAGTTCTTTAGTCAAAGGGGGCAACTCAGGTAAGACAGGCATAAGCAAGGTCCAGAGATTTCCTGATCGCTGGCATGGGGCTTCCCAACACGAGCCTTCTGAGGTCCAAGGGTGGGAGGAACCTGGGCTGGTAAAACCCACTGGGGACGGTGGATGGTACTTCCCAAGGGGCAGCGATCAGGAATAAATACTTAGTAGCTACTGCCGACTAAAGACCTGGGTCAGCCTCACTCCCATCAGAGGGAAGCTTCTAGGCCTCCAGCTCCTTTTATTTATTTCTTTTTGGCCGCACCTCAGATGCAGAACTTCCCCAACCAGGGATTGAACTTGTGCCCCCTGCAGTGGAAGCACAGAGTCCTAACCACTGGACGGCCAGGGAAGTCCTCCAGCTCCTTTGGCACTAACTTTCTATCACTCAGTCTCTAGAGGTTCTTTGAAAGTTTCTTCCTCCTTTAGCACTGTGTTCTCCAAGAACTCGGGACAGAGTAGGGTCCCGGCCCGCAGGGCTCAGCAGCCACCCACACAGCTCTCCTCCATGTCTAACCCTCCAGGTGCAAAACTGGATGGGATGGCCTGGAGCTGGGGACACTGGCTCAGGCCCCCTCTGTCTCTCCGAAGAGTCCGCATTTGCTAACTAGAGGAG